TCTGCATCAGCCCCTGCCTCCACAGTCCAGACCTGCTTAATTTCCTGTACTGATTTCATTTAATGATGAACTATGATGTGGAAGCATAAGCTGAAAAAAACTTTTCCTCTCAAAGTTTCTTTGGTCATTGTCTTAGTTAGGGTTTCTATTGCTGTGAAAAGACACCATGACTAGGGCAAATCTTATAATGGAAAACATTTAATTGGAGTGGCTTGCTTACAATTTCAGAGGTTCAGTCCATCATGGCAGGGAACATTGTGGGAAGCATGGAGTTATGCAGGCAGACATGGTGTTGGAGTAGTAGCTGAGAGTCCTACATCTTATAGGCAACAGGAAGTCAACTGAGACACTGGGTGGTATCCTAAGCATAGGAAACCTCAAAGCCCATTCTCACAGAGACACCTTTTCTCCAACAAGGTTATACCTACTCCAACAAAGCCACACCCTCTAATACTGCCAATCCCTGGGGAATAACAGGGTATAAATAATATGAAGGGGAAAATGAGGAAAATAAGAGAGGGCTTTACCTGGGAAAGGAGAAGAAAGACAAGGAGAAGGATGCTGTGGGATGCCTTTCTATATACTATGAATATATGCTGTTCTCATTGGTTAATAAAGGAGCTACTCTGGCCTGTGGCAAATCAGGTTATAGCCAGGCAGGAAATCCAGGAGAGAGACAGGAAGAAGAAAGGCAGAGACAAAGAGATCCTAGCCTGCCACCCAAGGAACAACATACCAGCAGACTGATAAACCATGGACTACATGACAAAACATAGATTAATAGAAATTGGTTAATTTAAGATATAAGAGCTAGCTAGCAAGAGGCCTGCCATATACCATACAGTTTGTAAATAATATTAAGCCTCTGAGTGATTATTTTATAAGTGGCTGTGCTGTGGGATGTTCTGTATGTCCTGTGGGAGCCCATTCTCAGGTTCCTTGTGGCGTTACCCAGCAGGTCCGTATAGAGGATGATTGGGACCATGGGCCTGAGTGCAGGTGTTTGAGATGGTCTGCACTTGGCTGTGCTGGGGGATGGTCTGTATGTCAAGTTGCTCTGATTGGTTAATAAATAAAACCTGATCGGCCGTGGCTAGGCAGGATAAAAGGACAGAAAGGCAGAAGGAGACGCTGCAGCCGCCGCAATGACCAGAGAGGCTGCAGCCGCCGCCATGATCAGAGACACTGCAGCCGCCGCCATGACCAGCAGCATGTGAAGACGCCAGTCAAGATAAGGACAGTTAGCAGGAAGCCTGCCACGGCCATGCGGTTTGAAAGCAATATAAGTGTCTGTGTTTATTTGGTTGGGTCTGAGCGGCTGTGGGACTGGCGGGTGACAGAGGTTTGTCCTGACTGTGGGCGAGGCGGAAAAATCAAGCTACATGGCTGTGGGACTGCAGGCCTGGGGGCGGGACCTGAGCAACCTTCCAATTATGGAGGGAGAAAGGAAGAATAAATAAAATTAAGAATCTTTTAAAAAGCCATAGTGAAATGTTTTATTTTATTTTACTTAAAATTGCACTATATTTATTTATGTATTAATAAAGTTACACCACCTAGAGCGATATCTGCTACCCAAGAGCCATATGCTAAAAAAAAAAAAAAAAGCAAACAACAACAACAACAAAAAATTACTAGACATGAGATACATCTTTGGAATTGTTGGCCAAGGGAAGCCAAGAGAATTCTAAAACTATATATACTATTGCTATTACTACTCATTGTCTCCCAGAAATTGAAATATCTACTGTTGAAGACACCACAAACTTTTGGACAGGACTTGATCTGGAACTGATATAAAGACTCCATTCTTGAAGACTAGCTTTCATGGAACTAGAAGGTGATATGTAATCTGCCAAGGAAGGAGAACAATTAATAGTCTTACCCAGCTGCAATGCCTATGAATCACAGCAATGACCATCATGGCAAGATACTCTAAAGATAGTTGCACTTATATCTTGGCAATAACCAACCACTGTCTAATTTGACTTAAGGCCTTCTCAACCAGAAAGTAATCATTCCTGGTACTGGAAACCTAGCTAACTGCCCACAGCTAATGAAGTGAAGGATCTTAGAGGAGAGCTAGTATGACATTTTCCTAAACCAGTATAATTTCTAACTTCATTCTAACCACTTATTCTTAATCTCACAGATAAGTATCACCCTGTCATCAAAAAATTCTTTTTGTAGAAAATAAAAACCAAATACAGAAAGCTACAACTGGTCAAAATACAGATAACTGACTGTAGGGTATCCAGCCCCAATTGATACACCACAACACAACACAATCCCTAACATCTAATGCTCAGGGAACACACTAGAAGAGAAACTGAAAATATTTTAAGAGCCAGAGGACAAGAAAATCTCTTCTGAGGCTCTTTTTTTCTAAATATAATAGAGAAGCTAAACCCGTAATACTTCAACAATATGGCTGCTCAAGCAAGACCTGAAAAATGACAATACCAGTTAACATAACAATGTGGGTGGGTTAAATATCATAGGACTCCACCCCTAGATAAGAAGTATAGGCAATTAACAACTGTTGAGAAAGGGAGAATTAGTCTTCCCAAGGGATAAGTCAACCAACTTGTTATCCAATGCCAAGTAGTCAACCCTAAAACATATATAAAAGTAACAGTGGGTTCAGAAATAAAAAAAACATAAAATACAAAATAATATGTATATGTGATAAAGAAAATGGGTTATATGAATTTGGAAGAGAGTTTAGGACATGGGAAGAAATGGAGTGATAAACAGGATGGGGAAATGATATACATTATAATTTATTAAAAAGAAAATAAATTAATAAAAATAAAACAAAGACATTTTAGTAGCAATTAGATTACTCTACTGTATTCAGATATAGATGACTGAGATTTGATTGTTTTGGTATTTGCCCAGTTTTCAGCTTCCCACCTTTGTATTTCTGGTTCCCCCACAAAACCACATAAACCAATGCTTTTGCGGATTTTACAAAAGCAGCCTCCAATTCCAATTAAAGAATAAAGTTGGCTTTTTGTAGAGTATTAACCATTCTATCTTGATTTTTTGCATGTTATCAGTTCCTGCATTTGTTTTTTTAAATGTAGATGACTTAGGACAAAAATCATCTAGTCCATCTTATTTATATTTATATATACATATATATATATATATGTATATGACATACATGTATAGGACAAGTTTTCTCTGTGTAAAAGCTTTGGCTATCCTGGAGATCATTCTGTAGACCAGGCTGGCCTCAAACTCACAGAGATCTGCCTGCCTCTGCCTCATAAGTGCTGGGATTAAAGGTGTATGTGCCATTACCTCATGGCATATTCTATTTTTGTAAACCCAATGGATCATCAATATTTGAGGGTTATTTTTATATATTTTTTTTTTTTTTTTGGTTTTTCAAGACAGGGTTTCTCTGTGTAGCTTTGCGCCTTTCCTGGAACTCACTTGGTAGCCCAGGCTGGCCTCGAACTCACAGAGATCCACCTGCCTCTGCCTCCCAAGTGCTGGGATTAAAAGCGTGAGGCACCACCGCCCGGCAGAGGGTTATTTTTAATATTCATTTCAAGGTATGGAAGATAAATCTCAGTGGTAGAGCACTTGGTAGTGATAGAAGACCTTAGACCAATCTCAAACTCTACAAAACACACAAACAAATCATGTACATTTGTCTTAAATTGTTAAGATATATTTAAATATGTCCTATGGCTTTTGTAGAACATAAATAGTTAATAATGGTAGTAAACCATGTGGCTTAACAGCCTAAACCACTTATAAGAGGACTTTTTTTAAAAAAGAATTTGTCTACCCCTGCCTTAAAAAAAGGTATAATACTATGAACTATATTTATTGTGTTAGTTAGACTTTTCACACTGTGAAATATAATTGACATTAACAGTTTTAATGGAGGAAGGAATTATTTTGAGTAACTGTTTCTAAGGTTCCATGGGCTGTCTCCAATACATAAAATCCATGCCAAGGTATCATGGTGAAAGACTATACCATTTATGTCATGGGGGTGTGATGGTTATTTTTTTGTAAAATGGACATGAGCTAGAGTTATCTTGGAAAAAAAAAATCCTTAACTGAGAAAAACATTAAATTAGATTGCCTGTAAGTGAGTCCATGGGACATATCCTTAATTGGTAATTAATGTAGGATCAGTTCATGTGAATGGTGCCACCTTTGGGTTATGGAAGAGAGTAGGCTGAGCAAGCCATGAAAAACAAGTCAGTAGCAGCACTCCTATATGTCTGTTGCTTTAGTTCCTGTCTTATATTTTCTCTTCTCCTTGAGTGCTTGCCCTGACTTCCCACGGTGACTGGCTAGAAGTATAAGATGAAATACTCTTTCCTACCCAAATTACTCTTGATCAGAGTGTTCTTTCACTGCAATAGAAATCTAACTAGGACACCAGCCAAGATGCAAGGAGGAGACATATTTGTTATATCTATTTTATCTAAGGTATAATTTAGCTTTGAAGTCTTTGGTGATGTTTACTTTGGAAGACCTATCTAAATATGAGAGTATGTACTAAAGTCTCCCACTGTTATACTGCACCTATATGAAAATTTAGGTCTTTTAGTGTTTGCCCTGCCAAATTAGAAGCCCAAGTTTTGGTGTATAAATAATTGCAATTATTACATCTTCCTTTGTAAATATATATATAATGTGTGTGTGTGTGTGTGTGTGTGTGTGTGTGTGTGTGTGTGTATGTTTTGCCTAAATGTTTATCTGTGTACCACATGTGTGCCTGATGCTCACAGAGCCCTGAAAAGGGTGATGGATCCTCTGTGACTGGAGTTTTTAATTGTAATCAGCTGATACATGGTATTGAGAACAAAACCTGTGTTCTGTAAGAGCAACAAGTTCTCTTAACCTCTGAGCCATCTCTCAAGCCCAATTTATTACATCTTGTCAATGATTTGTTCCCTTGTCAATATTCATTCACTGTTCCTCTTTATCCCTCATGACTAACTTTTGTTTGGATTCTCCTTTTTCAGATTTAAGAATATTACACCAGGTTGGTTACAACTTCTGTGTACATGGTAGGTTGATTTCTCTCTTGATACTGTTATTGCATGGTTCTACAAAATAAGTGAGTTTCTTGGAGATAATAGGTAGTCAGATTTTGTATTTTAATCTTGTCAACTAGTCTGGATCTTTGTGTTGATGAACTGATTTGTATATGGTAGTGGGAGAGGTTGTTTTGATAGGTGATATTCCAATTGATTGAATTGCTAGTATTTTTATTCCTACTATGATCGTAATACTAGGCCCAGCTTTTTTTCTATGATGAACATCATTGATGCCTTCCTGGCTCTCTTTTGTTCATCTCTTCCTCTCATCCAGTGCATTGTTTCCCATGTGCTTGAAATAATAAATTACCACAGAAAAACATAGGGGAATACTTAAGATACAAGTATAGGCAAGAACTTTCTGAATAGGAGTCCATCACAGAAAATAGCTTCCATAATTGGCAAATGGGATTATATGCAATTAAAAACCTTCTGCACAGCAAAACAAACTGTATGCATAATGAATAGGCAACCTGTGGAATTGGATAAAGTGTTTGACAGTCATATTTCAGACAGGCATTAATTTGTAATAAATTATATCTTTATAATGAATTTAAAAATAAAATGCCGGAAAAACAAAATTGTCAAGAAATAAGGAAATGAAATGGAGAGATAAATACAGATAATTTGTATTTATCTCAAAGTAACAAATAAAAAATGGCCAGTATCTTGAAAAATTCCAACCATCCTTATCCATCAAATAAATACAAATTAAAGGAACTTTGAAATTCTGTCTTACACATCAGAGTGACTATCATTGATGAAAAGAAAAATGCTGGAGAAGATGTGGAAAAATAGAAACTTTTATAGAGTATCATGGAAATCTGAACTAGTATGCAGCTACTAAGAAAATTAGTGTGGAATTTAAAAAAAATAGGACTACTATGTGACTGGTTATACCACTTCTAGATATTTACTCAAAGGTTTCCAACTCAACATGTCACAGAGATACTTGAACATCCATGTTATTGCTGTTTCATCTACAGTAGAAAGGAAATTAATCAGACTAGATTCCCATTAATAAATGAATAAGCAAACAGCCCCAGTGACATAGTTATTCTAACCAATCCCCTATTTCCTAAGTCCTCCCTACCTCCCAACAATGCCAATAATTTTTGAGTTCTTGAATGGATGAAGGCATAACTCTTGTGACCTAGTTTCTAGGAGTTGGTAGGTAAGGAGAAATGAAATACCAAGGTTTTCTACAGCCATGGCTTTCAAACCACCATTAGAAACACAACTGTTCATGTCATCTTCATCTGAGACAAACGGCATGAATGGTAGACAGTATTACTCTAGCAAATAGATAATTAAACAATTTAAATTCATCAGATTCCAATTGCTGTAATAGAGAATTTCCAGGCAGTTTGTTATGACTCATTTCCAAGCACTGGTTTTCTATTGCTGAAAACAACAACAACAACAAAAGAACCAGCACTGAGCCGGGTGGTGGTCGCACACGCCTTTAATCCCAGCACTTGGGAGGCAGAGCCAGGCGGATTTCTGTGAGTTGGAGGCCAGCCTGGGCTACCAAGTGAGTTCCAGTAAAGGCACAAAGCTACACAGAGAAACCCTGTCTCGAAAAAACCAAAAAAAAAAAAAAAAAAAAAAAGAACCAGCACTGAGCTTTCATGAAGTGATGAAGTGCAAAGATCCACAAGCTGCTTGCATCAAATGTCAAGGCTAAAGAAGACCCAATAGAGCAAGTGCTTGAAATGAGCCAGAAACAGTGGGAGCCTGTTGACAGTGACTGTACTAGTTCCTCTTTCCTGGTCTGAAACTACAAATCTAAAAGGTAAATTCATAGCAACAAATGCCAGTCATTATCCATTCCTGGCCACACAGCAAAAAATAAATTAACAACAAGGAATAGTTAGTTGATTCTTCTTTCCTTAGAGACATGCTGATTTCCAGGTTACATGCACCAACTTTCAGTTGCCTAAAAACTTAAACAAAATAATACTAAGGATAAATAATGGTGAAGCATTGTTTTGTACCACAGCTAATATCATCCTGATTATAATCAAATATTGACCCAAATATTCCTTGAGAACATCTTTGAGAACAGCTGAGTCTTTCTAGGGGGAAGAGGGCCCTGGACACTGTTTGCCATGAAAGCTAACCTGAACCAGTGACTTCTGGGTTCATGTCTCATAAATTTAAAAAAATGAAATTAACAAACCATAGAGGGTCAAGTTTTAGAGAGAAGATTATTATAGATTCATAGGTAGGTGTTGCGGTAGCACCCCACACTACCACCACCCCGTTTACCATGTCTGAGCGAGGGGCTGTGGATTAAAAAATAGAGACAAAAGACGGGGTCATTTGCCCCAGCAGAATGCCGAATGCCATTTATTGAAAGAGGGAGGAAACCTTATATACAGGCTTACAGCACAATAGAGGAACCCCAGAGGGCAGAAGTATGCTACCTAATGTTCTACATTCTTGCATCTAAGCTGTTTACACCAAATGCAGGATACAGGAACAAAGAACCTCCGGTGAGCATTCAGGAAGAATGAAACTGGCAGGGAATCAGCATTCAGGAAGAATGAAACTGGCAGGGAATCAGCATAGGGAGGACATCCAATCAAGGTTGGCAAGCAAGGCAGCAGCTTCTCAAATTGGGGTGGGGGGGGAGGCTAGGGTAGGAGTTTAATGGGGGAGTAGAAAGAAAGTTTCTGTCTAGTAGAAAGGGTCCCCAAAATAGGCTACCATTAATCTGCTAATCTGTGTTCTTTTTAAAGTACTGACTTCAGAAAGCAGAGGTAAGGGGTGGAGCAGGAGAATGAGCCTGTCAGTCTGAAAGCCCAGCCAGGTGTCCATGTGCCACCTGTGAGATTCAGTCACAACCTTTAGGCAAGAGTGCTCATTTAGGAGACCACAATGAAATAAGAACCAGAACTCTCTTCTGGCTTTCCTGGCTTCCAGCAAGGACATCCTCAGAACTATGCTTTAGGGTGCCTACCTGACCTGACCAGATTCCATCTCTGTTTTCATAACTGGGAAGAATGCAATTTTAGACTTCAATAACAACTTCAAGGAATAAGAACCCAGGGCCGCTGTTTCTTTCTCTCTTCCTTTTGTGTCCACCTTGTCTCCACTGTGTATCATTTTATTCTTTTTTTATTCATTTTACAGACCAATCCAAGATCCCCCTCTTCCCTCTTCCCCCCCCCCCAGCCTCCCCATCCCAATTCACCCGTAATTACATCCTACAAGAAGGTAAGACCTCCCATGGGGAAGCACATTTAGTAGAGGCAGGTCCAAGGCCCTCTCCCTGCCTCAAGGTTGTGCAAGGTGTCCCATCATAGGTAGTAGGCTCCAAAAAAGCCTGCTCATGCACCAGGTATAGATCCTGATCCTACTGCCAGGGGGGCCCTTAGGCAGATCAAGCTACACAACTGTCTCCCTATGCAGAGGGCCTAGTCTAGTCCCATGTAGGCTCCACAGCTGTTGATCTAAATTTCATGAGTTCCCACTAGTTTGGTTTGGTTGTCTTACTGTAGTTTAGAACATAACTTTCTCCTCTTCCATATCTGTCCTCTCAACAGCCCCCTTCCTTACCTATCCTTCTCCTTTCTCTAACTCTAATAAAATTGTTTTCAAGTTCTTTTCCATGTCCAATTTAAATTATTTTATCAACAAGGCCACAATTCCACAATCAAAGACAACGTTGAGTCTGCAGCAAGCACTTCTGAAGGCTAACATGTAACATGTAATCAGCTTCTGGAGACAGCACCTCACACATGAGCTATAATGCTGATCATAACAGTGATCTTTGAATATAAGACTAGCTGAATATTTTCATAAGACATAATTTGATAGTATGTGGCAGGGTAACTCAGAGATAGCCAATTGCCAATGAACTGTCAAAGTAAAAACCAATTACAGGAATTTTGTGAATGTTTCCTTTAGAAATTGTTCATACTTTGGCCATGGGTGAACAACTTATGAATATACTTTGAAACTTAACACTGGGGGAATTTCATAATTTCATGGCAATTCATAATTGACAAGCAAGAGTAATCACTAGAGACCATCACAAAAGCAAGGTAGTATTAATGTTGTACCACTAACACCTAAGTAATTATTATACTTTATATATATATGTGTGTGTGTGTGTGTGTGTGTGTGTGTGTGTGTGTGTGTGTGTGTTACCAAAAAGTTTTGCAACTAGAATCTGTGCAGAGTTCCAAATTCTAGACCTGTAGTTTAAAATCGAGCTGAAATGTTGATGATCCTTAATAATGTCCTGTGTGGGTTACTAGTAGGAGACTTTAGTGTTATTGTTACTGTTATTCTGTGTGTGTGTGTGTGTGTGTGTGTGTGTGTGTGTGTGTGTGTGTGTGTGTATCTGTATAGGTGTTTGTGTGTCAGTGTATACATGTGGACATCAGAGATCAATTTTTGAGAATCATATCTCTCCTGACAACTTGCTAAATGAATCCAGGCCATTAGATCTGCCCTCTAAGCCATCTTGGCAGCCACTTGAAGTCTTTAGGACTGTGAATCACTTACCTCTGTTAACTCTATAATACGTTTCAAAGGTCCATCACTAGTGACATTTCAGTAAAGTCATTTTTAATACAATTACTTTTCATAGATTCCATAGATCTCCACACTGTAATGAGCATCCAGTCCATAGGAAAGAAGTTACTCCAGACTCTTCTATGAACCACACATCCTCCTTTTCATTAATTCAGTGCTTAAACAAACCTGTAGAAGAGTTTGAGGCCAATAAAATAAAAGCAACACCACCTGTATAATTTCTTTTATACAATATTTGGTAAGGTGAAACACGGAGAAGGTAAATTATCTACAAACCCAGAATGTAAGAGCTGTAAGGGTGTAATTTGGTTCCGGTACTTTCTAGATAAAGCATGCACAGCAGAAGAAAGGTTAAGGGACTCCTTGGGACTGCAGGGCTCCTGGTTTCTGACTTCTGCCACCAGTGCCCAGCCTTCCCTAAGGCACAGATTCCTTGGTACAAGAGCAACATTCGCTCTGAATTCCATCCTGGGAATCCATACCATTCCTCTCACCACATCCACGATTGTCTTCTTTTTCTCACCTAATTAAACTCAAACTGTTCCAAATTCCAAAGAACCTAAGTCATTAAGAACCTCATTTACAATCTTCTCCTTTGCACTTAAACAATGTGGGTTTCCTGTTTTATCTGCCAAGTAAAAGTTTATGCATTCTTCAGTTCATCTTCTTTCTGCTTTCTTGTTAAACAATTGCTTTTAAATGGCATTTTTTTTTCTTCTTTTGGATTCAGGACTTCTGTGGAATGGAATAAATCTTTTGCTGACTACCTCATGGCCAAAGGTACATTCTCCAATGAAAGCTAGTTGGAAGGAACTCTATGCATGCCACCAGTGCCTTCAAATGAGTGACTGAGATGAGAGGACCCACGGGGGAAAATGGAATGAGGAACTAGACCACAGTGTGAATTTTATTATTATGTTATAGAAATATTGTGGTTCGTGGGCTGAGAACATCACATGTATTTATTTCCTAAGTGGCAAATGAATTCAAAGCATGTGCTTAACCTACCTTCTATTTTGAAGATTTAATTTCAGAGTCTTCTATAGATACATGGCTTCTATTTATGAACTGCTCTGGATTGAACATATAAAATTGTAGGCCATTTGTAAGAGGCAGTGTGAACCATCAGCCTTACAGAGAAGAAATTCTAAAGCTAAGCCACACTTTCTAGCAGTTGGCTTTATGAACCTTAGCAGGTCACTTATTTTGGAGATTCCATGCTTAAAATGAAGCACTAAGCAAAAATGCATTATACCTACAATTAAATGAGAATATGTAAAGTATCGGTAAGTCTTTACTATGAAAAATATTTAAATGAACAATAATGAAACCACACCACATCCACTGCTAATAATCTCAGAACTCTGAAGGACCTCAACAAATTTGTTTCAGGTAGTGCAAATCAATTTATAACCTGGGGTAACCAATCCTGTACCAAACCTTATAAACAATAAATAAAATGACTTTTTCTTAGCTTACATTTCAGAAATTGGAAGCCTATTTTAATAACATAATCACCAGACTTCCTAAAATAATATAAAAATATTAACTAACCTGATAACTGTGTGTCTGGATCTTACAGTTCTCCATTTGATGTAGACACAGGAAGTATAGCTGACAGAGAACTAGTGACTAGTTAAACCAGTACATTACACAGCAGTCACCTTATAAAGATCTGTGGCTGTGATGGTAATGCTGTCGACAGGGAATTTTTGCTAGAATGATTGAGATTAATCTTCAGCTATTGAACTTTACTCTTACCTTTTAACTGTTAGATGCTGCTTTGGATATTGTAATAATTCCTCGTTAGCCACAGAGATGTTCTAAGCACTTCAGTGATGCTTTAGTCCTCACTTTTGAAACTAACTAAGCTATCATCATGCACTATGGCCACACTATTTGCAGTTTAAATAAAGTCAGTGTGAATTTTCTTCCTCTGTTTTACAGTATCATGGGTAGTTTTGGTCAAATCATAAAGCTTAGCAATATCAGTATGTAGTTTTATTTTAAAATAAGTTATCAACTTTCACTTTTTCACTTAGCAAGAAGAGCGAAGCTTCTCTTTTGGCATTTTTCAATTTCCAGTAATGTTACCCTTTTACTTTAGGGTATTAATAAATAAAATAAGGGCTGCTTGAATATAAGCACTGTGATACCATGAAATCTGCTCTGATAAGATGTATGGCTACCAGCAAGGGCACACTGAACAAAAGATTAATTCGATATATCCATAGTGGGACAAAGTAGAATGTAGTGAGATTTCTACACATACTACACAGAATGGCTGGTAATTTAAGAATTTGTGAATTATTTCTCAAAATTTTCCATTTAATGTTTTCAGACCATGGTTGACTGCAGATAGCTGAAATCACAGACACACTGAATGGGAGGGGATTACTTTATCGAAGAATCAGGCTCTGGGAAACTTTGCCATTTGCTCAAAAAGGAAAAAAGAACACTGAAAATTTGTCAGCCAATAATGAAAAATATTTTGCTTCACAACCAACAGCAGGAAAATCATAAGCACTGTAAGAAAGGTATGAAAGAGGCTGTGAATGACTTAAGAGAAAGAAAGTCACAAAGGAGGTCACATTTGAATTGAACATTAAAGAAGCCAAGCGTTATCTATAATCAAAAAGGCACTTGCAAAGTGAAATGGAAGCATGAGCAAGTTGAGACATCTCTTGAGAAATTGGCTACATTCACACCATAGGAACCTGGAATCCTTTTTGTGGCAGCTGTGGCAAATGGGCTGAAGAGAATAGGGCTTGAGTTTCATCTGTCAGAAGGGAAAAATCACAAAATCTAACATGTAGTTTGGGAAAGTATTTGGAAGGACCTGGGGGAAAACAGATTGCAGAAACGCAGTCCATACTGCTGAAGAGCCTGAGATTCAATTAATTGTGGATGGAAAATAGTCATTTGAAACTTATAGCTATATTGAGCATGTACAAAGTTCCCCGTGTCTTTGGTCTTCAAAAACACAGTGCAGTCAGTATTTGCATAGATTAATATTGTATAAGCACTCTAAATAATTGAATTGAGTTAAGCATATTGGAAGATGTGTCTAGTTTATACACAAATACTATGCTGCATTATAGGAGACTTGAACATCTTGAACATCGTGGTCTTTGGTATCCAATTAGGGGTCCTGGAACCAATTTCTTGAAGATACTGAGGGAGGACTATATTTAATTTTATATTGCATTTACAAAATCAAAATCAATAGATTCTTTTCCTGCTGTAAAATGACTATGAAAGTAAATCCTTTTCATCCACTTTAAGTGAATGTGAATCCTAAGACACAGAACAAGTGGAAGGCCACTTGTAACTATTGATATTGCCTCATTGAAAGGGATGGCCTGAGGGTCAGTGACAGCTGTGCTGGCCATAGGTCCGTTCTGCTGTATTTTTAAAATGGCAGGCAGGAGTCACACCATATAACAGGGTTCACATGCGAGGTTTATTGGGGTAGGGGAGAGAACAGGCAGAAAAGGGGGCAGAGACTGATCCCTGGGGATGAGAGGGAAGGAAAAGAAAGAGAAACAGACAGGACCTTTTATAAGGAAACTGTAGCAAATGTGCAGAGGGGATGCTCTTAGTGGCTGCAGCTGAAGACATATCCTGTCAGGACCCTAAGGGCAGGCCAGCACAGCTGCCCAAATGCTAACACAATCCATGAAAGAAGTGTAGAGGAGCACAACATTGGACATTGAGATTTTGAAATAACAGAAAATATATATGAACCAACTAGCTAAGAAAGAAAGGTGTTCCTCCTTTATGTACACTGACCTTGCTACGGCACATAACTCCAGCACATATGACGAAAATTACTTTTAATTACACCTGCTGATTAATGAATAGCAGAAAACTTAAAATTTGGCTTAAATGGCATTAAATTAAAATACAGAATATTCTTTAAGTCTATTACTATAATGTTTGTGTTTTACTATAAAGATAACTACATTTAAATGTTTATCTTGTTTCTGTAATATAGCATTCAATCATAGAAATGGTTTCTTTTTTGAAAACATATACCTTATTATGTTGAAATATAGAAAAAAAATATTATTTTCACAATTTCCCAGCTAATTATCATTTAATCATAGTTTTCTTGTGTGAATATGGTAAGAATACTTAATATTTACTCTCATTAAACTTCAAGTAAATATTATAATTATTAATGATTATAGTGGCCACTGGGTCTTCAGAAATTTTCATCTCAATATTTTAACTATATAGTTCTATAGTATTCAAAATACACATATTTTTGGGCAACCATATCTACGACTTTTCTTCAAACCTCTTGCTTTTCAGAAGCTAACAGGAGTTCTGCACTCCTGTCTCAGCCCTAGAAAGTTACCATTCTGCTTTCTATTTGAAGTTTGCCTCTGTGGCTATCTCAAAAGAATAGAATTGCATAATATTTATCTTTTCATATTTGGCTTTATTTCACTTAGCATAATATCTTCAGGATTCACTGATACTGTGGACTTCCAACCTTTACAAGCCTAACATCATAAAATGCTATGCCACCTTATGATTATAGGAAGGATTTCCCTACGTTGATCTTGGTCACCTACATAAAATCTTCAGTGATGCATTTGTTAAATACAAAGTTTTATGATGTTCTTTAACTTAAAAAGTTCATATAATCTCATTTATGGCTAAACAAGGTTACTTGAATCCATGTGACCAGGCCATAGCCAATCACATTGTGCTCAAACTATTTTATTGTTTTTTAATTGTATTAAAATTGTTATTTCATGTTGGCTATATAGATCATTGGCTAGGTAGAGACATACCTAGCCCTTTATCCATTGGTGGTCAAATGCAGGGTTTCCTCACACACATTTTCACAACTGTATTTAACTCAGCTATGAATGTTGACACACAAAAAAACTGCATTGAGTTCTTGCTTTCCATTATTGTATACTTTCCAATTCATTGAAATGGAATTACTAGATCATATGATATATCATTGTTAAATTTTTTGAAGAGCTGCAACACTATTTCCAATATGGTATACCACTAATTGTTAGGAAGAATAAAAAAAAAGGTTAGAATGAAGGGTGGGAATGCCTTATAGAAAGATGAGATGAGATGATCTCCAATAGTAAGAAGAGTAAGATGGGAGCATCAGAGAAAAATGCTGCTGACACAGCTTGTGATGGCTACTCTTAGTGGTCAACTTGACTATGTCTGGAATGTAAGACAATCAAGAAATGGAGGGCTCACTTGTGATCCAGATCTTGAGGCAGGAAGGTAACAGTGTCTACAATCCGTATCTTAAGTCTGAAAGATACAGGCTTTGAATCTGGATCTTGAGGTGGGAAGACACACCTTTGATCTGGGCCACACCTTCTGCTGGAAGCTTTCATAAGGACAATGGAAAAAGGAAGGGAATTATTTATTCTTTACCTGCCTGCAATCACCTTGTCAACACATTCATTCCTGCACAGACATTGGAGTCTACTTCTTCCGGATTCCTGCATATACAGAAGACCAGCTGAGACACCCAGCCTCATGGAACTGAGCAACTACTAGATTCTTGGACTTTCCATTCACAGCTAGACATTGTTGGACTGCAGCCTGTAACTCCATTGCAATAAATTCCGTTATATTTGTATATATATAGAGAGATTCATTATATAAGTTATGTGACTTTAGAGAATGCCGACAAATAGAGATTTTGGTATCAGAGTGGTTCTAGAAAAACAGAAATGTAAGGATGAATCTTTCCAAAATGCTGTTCTTTGCCTCTCTCTTTGGTTTGCTGTTATTTTTAAATGTACTTAGCCTTTTCCAGGAGATGGAATTTTCCCAGAAAGTTCCCTCACTCAAAGCCCTCTTTATCTTGAGACACCTCACAGCACCAAGCTCTGTTCAAATGCAAGCAGCTTTCAATTAAGTCTCACAAGACTTCATGATAAGGATACAAAGCAATTATATGCTATTCAGGAAGATGTTACTGAGTAAATAAGTAGTCTCTTTGATTATCTTAGATGCTGGACAGCACGTATCATATAATAAATAATCTCTCTCTCCCTCCCTCCCTCCCTCCCTCCCTCTCTCTCCCTCTCTCTCTCTCTCTCTCTAATATATATATATATATATATATATATATATATATATATATATATATATATATATCAGTATATTAGGCTGGCCTTGAACTCACAGAGACCTGCTTGGCTCTGCCTCCTGAGTGCTGGGATTAAAGCATACATCACCACCGCCCAGCTCTTTCTATATGTTTTTTAATTTAAAGATGCTTTAAAAATGATATTTATTTTAATTCTTAGAGGAATTCACATAAGGCATTTTAATTACACTCACCCCCTATCCCCATCTCCTCCTCCATTCACCCCCAAATCCCTACAAACCCATTCGTGTCCTTATATTTGCTTTATCCATCAATTTGAACTTCCTAAATGCTGTTAGCTGTGGGCTCTACCCTGAAGGTGGATCTACCAGGGATCACAACCTTAACAAAAACTGACTCTCCCTTTTCAGCTTCTCTCCATTGCCAATCACACACTCTCAGTGTGCTATTGGAACTTGGTGCTAACCTCTACTCTCCATGTTAGCATTTTGTCTGGCCTGAGCATGTGCAGACATGGTACACTGACAAAGAGCTTGGAAACAAACTCCTATTCAAGCAGCTTCAAAGAAAATACACTACCTATGAATCTACCTGACCTAGGACACAAGTGAAAGACCTCTGCAATGAAAACTTCAGATCTCTGAAGACAGAGATTAAGAAATGCCTCCCATGCTCATGGATTGGCAAAATTAATATCATTAAAATGACCAGTCTACCAAAAGCAATTACAGATTCAACACAATCCCAATCAAACCCCCAAAACATTCTTTACAAAAATAGAAACATCTTAAAATTCACAAGGAACCACAAAAGACACTGTCTTGGCCAATCAGTCCTGAGAGGGGGGGAAAAAAAAAACACTGGAGGCTTTACTATTCCAGACCTAGAGAGCTGTAATAATGAAAGCAGTAGTGTATTGGCAAAAAGTCAAACACATAAACCTAGTGGAACAAAACAGAAGACAAAACCATGAGTTCACTCAATTACACTCAACTCATGCCTGGCAAAGAGGCCAAAAGTTAGCATCTTCACCAAATGGTGCTGGGAAAACTGGATGCCAGTATGTAGAAGATGGGATCAGAACTGTATTCATCCCTCTGCATCAAAATCAACACTGGATGAATCAAAATTTTCAATGTGGTCTTCATTCATCATGGTATCTCCCTCTCCATTCTCTCACTGTGCTCCTGATCCAGCTGGGACTTCCCTCTCCCCTAAGCTCTCTTTCCCCCAACCTTTGCTCTCCATTACCCCACCCCCATCCCCAGTTTGCTCATGGAGATCTCATCTATTTCTCTGTCGCTGGGAGATCCCTGTGTCTTTCTTAGGATCCTCTTTACTAGGTAGCATCCCTGGAGTTGTGAGTTGCAGTCTGGTTATCCTTTGCTTTACATCTAGTATCCACTTATGAGTGAGTACATAGCATGTTTG